ATTGGAATAAAAGTCCTTAAGTGAACATGATTTAATATCAGACACACCGAACACTTCAGTCAAAAATAAACAACCTGATTTCTCCCACCCCCTGCCCTCCTTCTGCAGGCAAAATCTGATTTTTGTTCTCTTTCATTGTTGCAGTCTGTTTCCATGACGGTGGGTTAAACACTTACGAATTTCTCAGCCAAAGCCCTACCAGTCAGATTTATGATGGCTGGTGTTTTATGAACTATCCGCTGCACAATAATATTTTGTAAATCTACATTCCACAAACATCACTGTGCTTGAAGTAAAGCTTCACACTCAGCTAGGCTGGGTGCTCAACAATACCCTCATTTTTAATGTCACCTGTTTCTCATTTTAAGTTTATCACACTTGAAAAAATACTATAATTTCTAGAGTTGTAAAGAAACCTACAAACTTTGGTCTCAGAAATTTCATTTCGAAGGCATTAACTCATTCTGAAAGTCCCCTGGCTATTTAAGGTGTAGAGTTTCCATTAACAGAATAAACTCCACGGAGTATGGAGTGTAATGTTCTTATGGAAAACAGTCCCTTCCCCTAATTATTTAGTCTAGCAGGGAATGAAAATAATTAAGTCTCAAAATTCCCTTTAGAGTGGAGCTGGGGGGGGAGAATATGGTAGGAAAATTAGCTTTTTTTCCACCCAGCTACCGAAGGGAGCGAAGGTTTGCAGCTGGTGCAGGCAGGCTCAGGCTCATGGGTGAGGGTGCACCCTTTGGAAACCATCGGAGCGACAGCCACCCTGAACTACTTTTTCTTCCCAGGTGTTACCGCAAAGGCTCAAATTTAAGGCTTTTGTTCACAACTAAGGTTAAATTATAGCAAAAAGGCGATCGCTGGCTGTAGGCGGCTGTCAGCACTGAGGATGCCCGCATGCAGCGCTCAAAGATCCCTAAGGGATCTAGATTAAAAAGGTAGGTATCCTGCTAACTGCCCCTTCTTACACTTTCCTTGCACCCGGATCGAGGGTACAGATCAATCACTCGGGTTCCAGCCATGGTTCTCCCGTGCGAACGCACCCAGGGCTGTGCCGTGGGCGCAGAGGGCTCATCAGCCCCACCAGGAGCTTCGGTGCAACAAGGGGACATGTAAAATTAAACGAAGAGAGGGTGGGTTTTAAATTTAAAGGGAAAAAAACGCCCCAAACCCGAGCAGGCGAGCCGTTCTGTGCAGAGCTAACACCGGGCGAGAAGCAGCCGACGGAGCTGCTGTGCCGATGCTGGCCCCAAGCGCCACCAGAACTGGGATGGGGCATGAACACTGGAAAAAAAAAAGGCAAACAGTCACTTCAGTTGCCTTACACAGGCGAAGTGCTAACGGCAAACAAGGAGTAGCAGATGAAATGCAAATAGCAACAGGAATCGGTGACCGAGAGCCCGGTGAGGGTCCGACCCAGACCCTGCTGCCCCGGCGCGGGCAGGCATGAGCACCCAGCCATGCCCAGCCCTCGCCTGCACCCCCCGGCTGCCAATGTCCCCGCTGTTTGGATTTGGCTCGCTAAAACCCAAAACACGACCACCCCAACCTGGGATCCACAAGGAAACGGGGTGTTAGATTTTGGTCTGAGCCAAAACGAGTTGTGAATTGTTATTTTTATTTTACGCCACCCAAATATACACCCAGACCCATGAAAAACTTTTAAAGCGAAGCTAAAGCCAGAGCAAAGGCAGCTGACACATAAAACCAGCGCTGGATCCTGATCTTTTCCTACTATAAACTAGCTGCTAAAGAGTGAAAACAGAGTCTGTGCTTTGGTTAAACCAAGGTAACGCATGAATCAAGACCCTGTTCAACAAGATCTATAGCACCGTGTGTTTAACCCGCTGCTGTGTAATTACCTGCTGGACCCACTCCTGCCCCTTGGTACGCGCCGCAATCGCTATCCTAAAAATACTAACACAGATAACGACTGGTTTTTCTTCAAATCCTCGAACATTTCCCTTCCTCACCTGTTACTGAACACAATAAAATGAACTATTCACCACCTGGAGCAATGCAGCCTTATCCCAGCCCCATCTCCCTTCATTATTTTCACTATAAAATGAGTTCCTGTGTTCAACTACTTTAATTTTTTTTAACACCACCGATGCCAGAAAGCACAGAAGAGACACAGCCCATCTCCCACTGATCTCGAAAGAGAAGACATGATATAGTTGATTTTTCATCTGTTAGGATGTCTTGTTTTCAGCCTCAGTTGCAGAGAGTACCAGGAGCAACGTTCACAGCACTGGGGGACACGTGGTAATAAACAGCTCTGGGGTTATCAAATGCTTCTGCCGCTCCATGAGCCGCGAGAGCTGTTTATTGCCGGCAGCCTCCGGATGGCCGTGGCTTCTGGCTGCTGGCACCAGGGGACACCTAATTCAAACTGGTGACTCTGTCTAAAGGTCCTAGGTTCTTCCCCTGGGCTCTCCCAGCGCTCAGAACTAACTTTTCTCTACTTTTTTTAATTAAAAAAAAGGCAATCATAGACTCATAGACTCGTTTGGGTTGGAAAGGACCTTAAAGCCCACCCAGTCCAACCCCCCTGCCATGGGCAGGGACACCTTCCACTAGAACAGGTTGCTCCAAGACTCATCCAGCCTGGCCT